ATAATAATGTAATGAAAATAATAACAACAGCAATAATGTAATGAAAATAATAATAACAATAAATATTACAATGACAATATTCACAAGAGTAGTGATCATGATGCAGAAGGAATAAGATAATCATCCCGACTTGCAATAGTGGATTAAAGGAAGATGTTGATACTTTCGCAAAATCTCTTCGAAATCTTGAAAGAAATGCCGTTTATCGCCTCCGCCGCCGAGAGAAGAGGAAGAACGCAGAAGGAGGAAAATGATATTAGAAAGAAAAATAGAGTGAGTATGAGGAAAGAAAAGAGAAGAGGCGAAGATAAAAAAATAAGTCGGAGGTGAAAAAAAGGTGGATGGCGAGGGAAGAAGAGGAAGCGAATGGGAAGAAGGAAAATGCAATTGATAAAAGAAGGGGACAAGAAGCGAAGTGTGAAATGCGGCCCTTGGGGATGGAATGTGGACTTGGACACGTGCGTAAGGACAAGGAACTCGAAGGACACAGGCAGGGGCACTGACCTTAAAAAAAAAACTCCCAAAGACCGCCCCTTCGGATAAGGTTACGCAGAGGGAGCGTTTAGGTTTCCTGACGAAGGGAATGAAGATGTCGTACTCGCAGAAGGGGGAATAGGATGAGTGAGAAAGATGGTAGGTTGTACGAGCGTGAAGGATGTTTCTCGTTAAGGATATTCCTCTTTCAGGATAGATGTCGTGTAGGATATCGCTCGCGGAAAGACACGTCTCGTAGATATATGTAAATCTCATGAAAGGTATTGCTCGTGAAGGATATTACACTCTCGAAGGATATTCCCCGATGAGTATGTTGCACGGGAAAGGTATCGCTCAGGCAGGATATAGCTAGTAAGGGTCAAATCTCCTGAAGGATAAATCTCGTGAAATCCGCCCTCGTTTGCACCAAGAGGAAACGCGGTCTGTGGGTGTTAGTATTCGTTACGTTTCCATGCAACTGGTGTCTGCAATTTGCAATGATGCGGACTTCGCTTTGGTTTACGGTAACATGACCAGGTATTTACTCAACAGGGGGTCATGTCTCGGTATTTTACAATTTGGCTATGATGTTTTTTCATCTTCTTGTTCTTGTTCTTATCTTCTTGTTCTTATTCTTGTTCATATTCTTGTTCTTCTTATTATTATCATTTCGTTGTTGTTGTTCTTATTATTATCATCATTATTAATATCATTATTTTAATTATTGTCATCCATGTTCTGTGTCTGTTTACCGTTCCCCTACCTGTTTTCGTGCCCCCATAGGAGCCTCGGGAGGGAGAAGTGGGATCCGAGAACAGGTTCAACTCCCCCCCTTCCCCCCTCTCCTCCCTTCCCCCCCTTCTCTCTCCCACCCTAACCTTCAATCGCTCCATCTTTCCCTTATCACTCCTTCCTTTCTTTTCTATTTGTCTCTCTTTATCTAATTTTCGATTCCAACCCCGCCTGTGAATTCGACTTTTTGATTTTCCTTGGCCTATCCGCGTTCGCCCGACCCCGCCCGGGATAACTGTTTCTTCCCTCCCTCCTCTCCTCCTCCTCCTCCCCCCCCCCTCTCTCTCTCCCCTCCCTCCCTCCCGCTTCCCCTAACCTAGATAACTGTACACCCTGATGGGGGTTCGTGAAGAGGAGGAGGAGGGGGGGAAGGGGAGGGGTGTGTGTGAAGTGATTGTATCGTAAACTATCGATTTCTTTGTTCTTTTGTAATTTAACTTTTCTCAAATATCGGTTTCCTTTGGACTTTAATCATCTAACGTCTCTTTCTCTCTTCGTCGCATGCTATTTTGTCCTGCTTACGTCCAGGAAATGGTTTCGGGGAAAATGGAGACGTGAAGCGGACGCCGTCGAAAAGCTAAATCGCTAGACGGGCTTCAAACCTGAGGAGGAACCAGAGCACCGAAGGAGGAGGAGAGCAAGGGCTGGTACGAAGAGGCGAGGGTATGCGAGGGCGGCAGGAGGGGCGGCAGGGGAAGGGGAAGGGGAAGGGGAAGGGGAAGGGGGCGAGGTTAGGAGCAGAGGCAAGCGTCGAGGAGCGTTGGACATCAACTCGTCATTTTCCCGAAAGGCTAGAGGTAACGGCAGCAACTGCGTCCACAAATAGCGCGTTTTATAACTGCTTTACCATCCTCCTTCGCCACTACTCGGCCGCCCGCCCACAGAGCCGCCCGCACGCCCGCCTGCTCAGTGTGGCCTTGGTACAGTTAGCAAGTCGGTATGAACGGAGTGGGAAGTGAACAGAACGAGATAGGGCTTCCGGTAATCACTAAAACAAGGCTTCCGGAGCAGAGCGAATCTTGCGCGTGGGGTCAAATTTGAACTTGACTTCGGCAGCTGAAGGATAAGATAGGCGTTAGGTTTCGAGGAACAAAGGAGAGTAGACTTCCCTATTCACATGCCTACAGGAAGCCATTGCTGGAGGCCAATGCTTCTGCTCTATTAGGCAAAGCTTCATCGATGAGGAATCCCATCAGTCAAATACCATTAGCATTTTTTAATTAGTCGCTAAAAAAGGTAAAATCTTATTTATTTCCGTCATTCTATCTACTCATGAAAAGGAAAAGAAAAATATATACGTACGTATATATTTTTTTCGAGTATATATATATATATATATATATATATATATATATATATATATATATA